CTGAGCGTCTACGTGACTGGCTTACCGAACCTGCTGAAACAGCAACCAAGCATGCATGGTCCGGAGTCGTTCACCCAAAACAAGCTCGAGCTCAATATCAAGCCCTGCGTGAACAAGTCCAAACCCTGGCACGAGAACAACGTATCCGTGATTTCTCCTCCAAGCAAATTGGTCTTGACCCAATGCCGGAACTTCCAATTCATGCACTCGAAGGTCCCTTGACCCCAGTCATGCCAATCGTACTTCCTAAGCAACTGCTGCCTACTGCCCGTAAGATTCACCCTGCCGACCTAGGCGTCATGGACAACAGACCACCATCGCAGCTTTCGCCAACTGCAATTCAGCTCCTTCAGGAAAAACAAATGCAAAACATCCTTGTAGGAATGAGGTTTTTCGGAGCAGGAATTGGAAAAGCAGAAGATCTGCTGCAATTCTTCTTTGGTCATAATTATGATGCTGTTGTTGAACGCCATTGTCCACAGGCTAAGGAATGGATCTCCCACAAACTTAAATCTGCTGGACAGTGCACCTCCACCATGGCACAAATTTTGCTTTGGTTGTACTCCTTATTACATTATGAGCAAGTTTCTGTTCATTTTGTTCATATTGCTGACTGGGAAGATCAAGCACATATTGCTACCTTCGGGGACGCCCCTGCCAAATGGACGGTCTACTGTGTTCAATTTCCACGCTCGCGTACTTTTCACCTTGACACAGCTGCGTGGAATTGCCATACCCGGGTTGACATCCCATGGCAGCAACTGCCTCACCCTGTGGTGTTTACGGCTGCACCTATCCCGTTCCACTGCACCAACCCCAACTGCATCTGGTTTGCTGTTCCTTATGGACCTAAAGGACAATATCTGCTTTGCCATCGATTTATTGGCACATTCCTATATGACCAGTGCATTGTTTGCTTTTTGTCTCGGTTTGTCGAACAAGCCTCCTGCAATATACATACGGCAGCTAGTTCTTATCCTGAACTCCATGGTTGTATGTTTATTGACAATGAAGGTAATGTCGCCGTTGCTGCTGCGCACGACTGGAAGCTTGATGACACTACGGGATACCAAACATGCCTGATCAAAGCATCTATTGACAGCCGTGTTTTCAAGTACCCAGAGCATAGTGACACTCTTCCACATATTAACCCTATTGGGAAAATCAGTCAGGAACTCGCATGCAACTGGAACACAGACGATGCCCCCCCAGATTTTGCCTTTTTTGTTTGTTCTCTGATCGAGTGTCATTAGTAACCATGCAGCGCCTCGGGACAGTTGCGAAACCTTTGCTGCTCGAATTTCGCAACGCGTGGTCCCGACAAATTCGAGCGTTGTATTCACTGCAATTTATGACCAAATGTCCGAAAAGCCTACACTGCTTGCAGTCACTCTCCTTTTTGCCGCATGTACTCCAGATCCCCGCACCGTGGCCAATATTAGATATCCAGACTGTGGCTAATAAGTGTGGCATCCGCAGTGAATGTTTTACCCACTCTAGGCAACTTCTTGCACAAGCACTTGCCAACTCTTCTGAGTTTAGCCTCCTTTGTGCCGAAGTCCTCAAATATCGCCTAGAAAAGAAACAAGATTGCTGTACTGCCCTCAGACATTTAACCACATGGAATGTATCAGGTTGGAGAACTTTGCAATGGACTAACCCTAAGACACAAGCCATCCTCCGCCGGGCTCGGCATGGCATTGTCTGCCTCCAAGAAACCAGATGGACAGCGAGTACTGCTACCAATTTTCTCCAAACCTATCCAGGATTCAATATTGCGCACTCCCCAGCGATCGCAACAGAAAATGGAGGACTGTCGGGAGGAGTAGCCATATTGATTCCATGCTCCTTCAGACTATTGCAAGAAATTGTTATCACGCCTGGCAAACTCCTTGCTGCACAAGTCCAGACCAGAACCGATTGCTTTTGGGTGATTTCGGCCTATTGTCATCCCAGCAGTGCTAAAGAGGACTGTGAAACGCTTGCCAAATGGCTATCTGATCATCAGGACTATCCTGACCCATTCTTCATTGTCGGAGACTTTAATCATGGTCATCACCTCTCCCTTGATGCCTGGCACCGCATCTTAAGTTGTGCTCAAGGTGACGACATCGTCAAAGACGAACCGACTTTCTGGGGCCCAAATGGCTCGTCATCAATCGACAAAGTCATTCTTCCGACCGAATACATGAATCGTGGGCTAATCCAACATCAGGTGTACTATGATCGTCTTTTTGAGTCTGCTGGGCATGCATGCATATCCATTCAATTGTGCCATAGGCCACCAGTTTCTAGCAGCCCAGACCTGCCTCTACATATGACCATACCGGCAAGTGTTTTCCAACCGGGCAAGGACCGACATGACACCCGACAAGTGTGGCCTTCCCTCCAATCGCTGGTTCGCCGACTTTGCTTAGTCTCCCAGCCCACATTCGAATCCCTTCAAGCATTATTATGGCAATGGTGGATGTCGCTCCCGAAGCGGCCCCGGGACTTCAACACTCTGAGGAAGCATCTCCAATCTGATCGACCACTTCTCAACATCTCTAAACGGTTGCTACGAGAGCTCCTGGCGACCCTTCCAGGCTTCCGCCCTGCCCTAGACGAATATTGTCAATCATCCACTGTTATTACGGTTCCTCGTACCTTCCTTTGGAAGTGTTTCGAGCTCCTTGATCTACAGCTACAACAACAGCATTTTATCACTAGGAATAGAGATGAAACTACCCGCAGTCGTGGCCTGGGCACTAATGCCCCTCTGTGGCAGAGATTGCGAGCTAGCTGCCCGCGCACTGTATTTTATAATGGTCCTATTCTGGACGGTGCAGGCAACCAGTGCCGGACCGACTTGGACTTGTCTGCGGCCATGCTCGCTACCCGCAAGTTCTGGTTCCAACCGCCTGTCAAATATGATCTTGAGTGGACAGACTACCTGGAGCAGTATAAAGCACAAACACAGCCCTGGCCACATGTTCCCCCACCCGGCGCGGAGGACTTAATCAGAACTGTCCTTGCCACCAACGATTCTTCCCCAGGTCCTGACGGAATACCCTATGCAGCATGGCGACTTCACCCTGGAGTGTCATCTGATGCGATGATTACGCATCTCAATGATATCTGTAGATCCGCAGTCCCTCCCCCTTGCTCAGTCCAAGCATGGATCCCGAAAGCCAAAATGGGCCCCACTGCTGATAACTTCCGTCCACTAGGTATGCCATCGACATTTGAGAGAGTCATAGACGGAAGCATCGCGACAGTCATGACCAAAGCCATTGCTCCACTACTCCACCCCTCTCAAACGGTGTTAAATGTCTTCCGCGAACCGCAAAGTGCTGTCCAATCCGTACAAGCTGTTCTCGATCAAGATGCACCATGCGCATGCCTGTCATTGGACCTTTCCAAAGCATTCGAGCGGATTAACCCCCACTGGATCTTGCAAATTTTATCAGCATGTAAAGCCCCCTGGTGGATCATCATGTATACCCGGCACATCCTTCTCTTTCGAAGATGTCGGCACAAGGTCCAAGGCAAGTTGTTACCCTCAAAAATGATTGTCACAGGCGTTGACATGGGTCGATCCTTCTCAGTCCTGCTTTTTTGCGTTGCCATGGATCCAGTTTTGACCTACCTTAACCGAATCCCCGGCATGCTGACAGTTCAAGGCTATGTTGATGACACCACGATGGTGGGAGATACCACGGCAGGCATGCAATGGCTCACCGATGCCTGGCAAGCTTGCATCCGTTTGAAATCCGCTGGCATCCAAATAGATGAACACCACTGCTGGCGAACCAGTGGGATCAATATGCATGCAGCTAGCTCTGGTCAGATCGACCAATACCCTCCGTTAAATTGGGCAACAAGTTTACCAGGACATGCTACATTGCGGCAAGCCTTGGTTCACAGAGCGGGTTATAGCACCACCACCATAGTGTGCCGAGCAAATTTGTTTGTGTGTCTCACCCCAGCAGAGGTTGATTTAATATTAGCCGGAGAGCATCTTGCTAAAATTGACCCACTCTTCCTGGTACAGTGTAGTTGTTCCAACAAGTGCAGTGTACTGGTTAATCACCCAGCCTCCCATAGTACTCTGAATGCGCTAGAATGCTCCGACTGGGGAGCCCACCTCATTGAGGGAAAAACTACTGCGCTTGGTCTGCTCCTATATGGTAAGTATGCCCGTAGTCATCAAGGGTGGACCCCTGTAGAGGAACTTATACAGTATGGTCCGTCGCTACTTGTCTACTTAATTCTACTTAGCTACACCTAACCTACTTATGAACAACTTATGGCCTACTTATCTTAATTTAAAAAACTTTATATAACATAAGTAGAAATAAGTAGAAATAAGTTGGTTATAAGTAGATCATAAGTAGAATCTAAGTAGGATAAGTAGAATTGAATAAAAACATGTGGAAAACTATGTTTTTTCGATAAGTAGACTGAATGTTGAAAAACATTGGTTTTGCACATGTCTAGACCCGTATTTTGCGCGCAATGTGACACAGTTTCACGAGTTTTACTTTGCATATAGGTACAGGCGTGCTAAGAATTTAGTATCATTGAAGGTTGTTTACCCCAAGGAAGTATATGGATTTGAAGTACTTGACATTATATAATGCATTTTGCTCGCATGAGGTTTAGTTTTTCTAAATATAAGCGGGCACACCGCTTAAATCCAATGTGTTTGATTGGAGCGGGCACACCGCTTTTTTGAGGACATGTCTGTATATATATATATAGTATATACGTATATATAGATTTTTAAAAATAAAAGATACAAATATATATATATATTTGTATAGATAGATAAATAGATAGGTAGATATAGATATAGAGATAAAGTTTCGTCAAAAAGTTATATGGGACATGTGTTGAAGTCGAAAGACCTGAGCGGACACACCGCTTTGATTCTAAAAGTGGAAAGCTGTTCTGACATGATTGGTTTGCAGCTCCCAAAACTCTTTTCATACGTCACTGCCAGCTTCGCTGGTAAATTGTCAAGATTCGGAAATCATGCTTCTGATTTCTTTGCTAAGCGTCAAGACATCATTGAAAAGTTCTGGAGCATGATCCTGCAACCGTGGCAAGACATTCTGCATGATGTGGATCTCCTTCAAGAAAGCAATGCGCTGGTAGTAATTCAACTTGTTCCAGTCCTCCCACGGTGCCCACGTCTTTGGCGGTGCCATGCCAGATTCGGTAATATCGGCACCGCTGCAACCACCAAGTTTGCATTCGATCATCGTGATGAGGACCCACAGCTGTGCCAAGGGCTTGGTCTGCTCCACCAACCCGAACAGGCTGCAAACACTGCGACAAAATTCGCGGCATGCTTCAAGCCGGTCTTGGTCCTCATATGACCAAGTGGCCACCTCGACAACCATCGCCGTCGCAAGCAGCAAGAGCTTCTCATTCGTCATGGCACGTGGCTGGGAATGAACAAATGGAGCTCGTGAGGCAAGTTCTTGATCAAGAAGTCTGGTGATGGAAAAATTGCACATACTGCTGTGCGGCATTGACTCAGCGGACACACCGCTTCTGCAGCGGAATATTTATATATATATATATGTATATGTATATTTCTTTATGCGTTTATTTATTTATTTATTTACTTATTTATGTATTTATTTACTTATATGCTTATATATATGAATAGATCTCATAATACATATATATATATATACTCGGATTTGTTTTTTTGAATATGTAATTTTGTATATGCATGCAAATATGTGAACATGTATATATGCAAATTATTTCAATCTATCTATCATACATAAGCGGACACACCGCTGACATATGTATCCATATATGCAAACACCACAACATAATGCGGTCACACCGCAAAACATCAAGACCGAATGTCCATGAGCGGGCACACCGCTATATTCTGTGGTTCATGTAGATTTCACTGCAAGATTCTGTGGCAACATCTGCTGCATTTTTCTTCAGTGAAGGCAGGTGATGCACATGTGGTCGGCCGAGAACTTGTGCCACGGAGGAATGCAAAGCGGCTGCGAGGTCGAGATCGGACACGTGACAATCTCTTCTGTGTTTTCCCAAATCGTGCCCCAGCTTGTTTCTTCAACCTTGATTGCTCATCTTAGAAAATACATGCCAGGAAATTGAAAAACATAAACGTGAAAAAATGGAGACGGAACATATACACGGCTCGGCAAACATGGAGCGGCCTATAATGACTTCTAAGTGCCATGTAGAAACAATGGTCAACTTGGTGTAGCGCACATAGAGACCACGTTCAGGGTGATGGAAAAATCTTCGAACAATGCCAGCCTCACGCTTCCAACACACCACATCACTTTGGGAAAGTTCACTTGCAAGAAGGTGGCAACCTCGTGCGAGCGCCAGTTACGACATGAATGGATTTGCTTCACAAGGACCAAAGAATAGCCAAACCACTTATGTTTTGAAGAATTTTCATTTTTTACTTTAAAGCGGGCACACCGCTTGCCACTTATATATATATGCATATATATATATATATATGTATATGTATGAAATATCTATATATAAATGCCCCCCTCCAAAAAATATATATATATATATGTAAAAAAAAATGTGAGCGTGTGTGTTTAAAATTCGGCCATTCAATTTCGTCTGAAGATACTGCCGACAAAGCATCATTCGTGAATAAATCACGAGTATGAATACTTACATGGTTTCATCCTGATAGGCGGCCACACCCCTAGCACAAAAGTAGATTGGAAAGCCCTCTCCATTTCAGACAAAGATGATTAAAGGTATATACAATTGAATCTCAGAAACGAAGGCTTGTCTGTAGACTTGCCGCGGCAAAAAAGATCTTGTCATCCAGGTCGGCCTCGTGGATTGGCGGCAACAGCTCCCAAAAGGGAAGGCCAGCCTTGAGGATCGTGTCGAGACTCCTTTGCAACATCCTGGGCAAGACTGCCGCGGAAAATCCCTCGAAGTTTCTCACCTTTCCCTTCTGTCTATCAGCCAAACCATCTTTGTAAACTTGATGCTTCGTTTCGAGAGGCTCGCAGCTGATGATGACACCTGCTCTCAACCATTGGCTAGGAATGTGCAGTCGGTGGTGGTGCTTGGGTTTGAACCCATTCTCATATGCCATCCCAAAGTGCTTGTGGTGCGTCTTCTGCAATGCATCCAGGTGGTCCATGGATTTGCTGTCCACCCTGTGAAAACTATGTGCAATGTGTCGCACGTAAGCAATGATGTCGCAAAGGACTTTGAAACTTTTGCAGCAGGCAACCGGCAATGAACCTGCAGGTTCCATCATGGTTTCTAAGTAAAAGCGAAGCAAGGGAAGAATAGCACGTGTTTGATGACCTTCTCCTTTGTAAATTCCTTCGCCAAAGTTTTTGTGAGAAAATAGGTGCTTGAGATACGAAGGAGTTTTCTTTGCACCTTTTGAAGCCTGCCAGGCGTCTGAAACAGCTGCCGCTTGCAAGATGTCTAATGTCAAGGATGTCCGGGAGTAAACCGTTTCCAACATCAGTGCTACTTCCCAGCTGGCGACTCCGTTACAGAGATACACATGCATGAAGTCGGCGATGATCCGCGAAGGCGGCATTTTCCTTCGTTCTGACACAGAAAACATCAATGTTGCGTCATCATATACAATGCCTGTCGCCTTTTCATGCATTTCCAATTGTGCCCTGGTCCTGCAATGTTTCATTCTATCACATTCTCGAAAAATCGCGGCATCGGAGCTCAATTTGAATCCAGATGGAGCGCTGATGTCGAGATAGGAGGCATCGTGCTCCAGCAGCCCAGAATCCTTTTTGAGAACGTCACAGAGGATACACGGTCGAAGACCAGCGGATCCCTTCACAGAATATGTGCCTCGGATGGCATCCATGTCAGCAACGTAGAAAGCTTTTAAGGATTGCTTAAACTGCATGCCCCCAGGCAATGCAAAGCCTCGCTGAAGCTCTTCCGACACATTTTCAGCCAAGATAGCTGTCATCACTGCGGAAGTTCCGCCCACCATTTCTTGCACACATTGCGTTTGTACTGCAGCCATGCAAATCCACATTTTGGGGACCTTGAGGAGATGAAAGCATTCCAGCCACGACATATACCAGAGAACCGCTTTCTTCTGTTTCTCATTTGAAAGAACGTTGCCTGCAGTACATTCATCTGAATAGAAGACAGGCGTCAAACATCCGTTGTGCTGTAAAGCTTTCCCCAACGCATGTCGAAAGGCAGGGGCCTCTTCACACAACTTCAAGACAACTGGCCGCACTTGACAGATCGGCACTCTCACATGCTCCCCTTCAAGCATCTCGAACTTGATGGGCTTCACAATAGCCTGCCAAGGTGCCAAATTCTCTTGGACTATGCGAGTAAACTGAGCGTGGCCGACTCGACCTGTGTCATCGTCTTGCCACAGATTCCACAGATCGTTGATCGCCCTCTCCGAAGCGCCCGAAACTGCGAGCCCCTTGCGGATCTTCTCCTGGGTCTGTTCGTCAAGGGGGCGCTTCTTAGACATGGCAGAACCAAGAATCCATCGGTTCGTGTCTAAATATAATATATTTGTACATATATATATATATATCTATATATATATATATAGCTAGATAGTTACTTGTCCATATATGCACATATACATGACTTTCTTCAGAGACGCTGCACAAGGAACCACTTTCACCATCTGCGTTGAACTGCTATGTTGTCGATGAGCTAACAACATGCCTGCAAGGCAGGTATCAGTGAGAATTTTCTGCGTACACTAGAAGCGGCCACACCGCTGCAAAAAGTGTTACAGCAAAAGGCCAATAGCAAAGCGGACACACCGCTTGCAACAGACAACAGGAAGAAGTAACTAGTAACACCGCTAACGCCCGAAACTAGAAAAACAGCAAAAGCTTATAACGAAGCGGGCACACCGCTTTTTCAAGACAAAGCTGAGACAAACCTGAAGCCTCTGCCATGTCTTTTTTCTCAGATGCAGCTAGGTTTCAATGCAGGTCGCCAAATTGACCCAGACGGATCCTCGATCTTCAGCTTCAAGAAAGTAACTTAGTTGCGAACAAACAGAGCTATTGGCCTATCTAGATAGATGTGTATTCACATTCGCTTTTGCATTCACTTTGACTATCATATTAACACTTATTTATATTGAAATTGAAATATATAATTTTTGTTTAGTTATTTAGTTATATATTTATTTATTAATTTATTTTGATTTTTTATAGATTTATAACTTTATCGATTTCTTCATTGAGGTTACATCGGAGTATGCAAGTATATATCTATATATATATATGTATATATATATATGTGTGTGTGTCTATGCGCATTTAAACATATACATTTTGTATATTTCAAAGTATTGTATTTTTCTCATGCCTTATCTCTATATATATATATATATGTATATTAAAAAAGCACCAATAAAAATAACAACCTATATATATATATATATATGCATGGGAAAGCGGGCACACCGCTCAACAAACTGGGACGGCAAAGGCATAGCAAAGCGGCCACACCGCTAAATCAACTGCAACGCAAGACCAGTCCTCACAAGCTCTGCAGCAAGTGTTTTACCCTGATGCAACTTGTAGATGAATCATGTCAAGTTTCTATATATAGGAGAGCTTGTCAAAACTTGTCCACCAGCAGTAGATCGTCATTCTCGAGCTTTGCAACCTATGGCGAGGCCTTGGCCTTGGCACTCCTCTTCGTCGAAGCTTTGGCTTTGGCTTTGCCAGCAGCTCCACGGGCGGCCTTCTGGGCCTTGGAACGGTCACTGAAGACTTTGCGCACATCAGCGAGCACTTGCTGCGCGGCCTTCACATCGGCTTGCGCTGTAGCAACCTGATCAAGGACAATGATAAAAATTGCACCCGAAAATGAGGATCCCTGTTGGTGGTTCTCAGTTGGCACAGACAGAATCCTGGCAAGAAACCTCCACAAAGGGCTCAGGCATCCCTGCCAGCTTTTGCTGCGCAGTCGCACTGATCAAGACAGTGGCACCTGAGCAAGAAATATGGTCTAATGGTTAAATAAACATTGCGGAAAAATCTATGTGAAATAGTAATTTTTGGTTGTTCAAACAGGTGGTTTTGGACTTCAGGACGTCAGAGCTATATGGCAAAAATCAAGGTGGTCAGAATAAAGCGGCCACACCGCTGCACCAAAAACAATCTGGGATAATCAGCCATGATACGATCTTTCAAATCTTTGAGCTTCGTGAAGGCTTCTGTGATGCCATTCAGCACAGAGTCATCGAAGAGCTCGGCATTGTTGCCAGTGCGGACCTTGGCATTGGCCAAGCTCTGGGTAACGGAAGTCAACGATGCAATGACACGAGTAGCCTTGCCGGTCTCCTTGCGCCATGCTGACTCCTGCAATTTCTCCTGCTTCAAGGCGTCCTTCACCGCCTGCTCTTCCTCCTTGTTGTTCCCTTTCTTAGGGGCTTTGCTCAAAGGTTCACGTGTTTGCTCATCATCAGATGGAATTTCCCAGACTTCATCTTCAACAGGAATGACATCATCGCCAGCCTGATTGGCTACAGCAGCCGACCGCTTCACATTCGCAGTTTTTTTCTTGTTTTTGAGTTGCCACTCCTTCTGTGCCAATTCTTCTTCGACTTGACCTCGAATCTCCTCATTCGAAATCGTGAGAATTGGTGCTGCAAAAACTTCTCCGAAGACCTCACGCATGCACAGCTCGTAAAGAACAAGAAAATTGAACTGCAGCGGTCACACCGCTCAAAGACCAGACTTCAACTCCTGCATTATTCACATCAGCGACAAGGTGTAAAAAAAAACAGTAGCCATTCAACATTGCGGGCTCACATGACTACCTTGTGGAGATTTCTCTCCTACATCTATATATGTATATATATATATACACATACAAATAAATGCATTAGAGGGACCTCGTCGTCACGTCGATCTCCATGCTGCTTGATAGCTTCCACGTCGTATCCCTTTCTCTCCAGCACTGACAAGGGCAAGTACTTGCGCTGGACGCGATTCACCTGTTCTTCCTTCTTGTAATGCGTGATGCTCTTGACCATGGCAGCTCGAACAAGTGACCACCTGGCATTCTTGGGAGTCACTTTCAGCTGCTTTCCCACATCCTTGAAAAATTTTTTCTGCTCCTCAGCTTGCATCGATTGCAGACTGGGAGGAGTTCCTCCAAGGTGGCGGTACATGATCTGGTGCACGTTCCAGCACTGACGGCATTGGAAGCTGTGACTGTCAAAGTCAACGATCTTGCATCCACACTTGACGCAAGTGCTGTCCTCCGCAAGCGCCGCAGCAACCTGAGCATCCTGAGTCTCAACCAGTGCTTGTTGGCCATCAGCCATGATCGCAGTGCTGACACGAAGACACGCTTCTACTGCTTGAGTGCACTTAAGCAAAATTTCCTTCAGAAACAAGGAAAATCAACCATAAATATTTTCGACTGGCTACAGACAGAATCCCTCCAGGTTATAGGTAGGCTGTAGATAGGTATAGATAGGGTACAGATAGGGTATAGATAGGGTATAGATAGGGTATAGATAGGGTGAGCAAAAATCAAGAAAATCCAAGGAAAGTATAGATAGGGTATAGATAGGGTATAGATAGGGTGAGCAAAAATCAAGAAAATCCAAGGAAAGTATAGATAGGGTATAGATAGGGTATAGATAGGGTGAGCAAAAAATCGAGAAAATCCAAGGAAAGTATAGATAGGGTATAGATAGGGTATAGATAGGGTGAGCAAAAATCAAGAAAATCCAAGGAAAGTATAGATAGGGTATAGATAGGGTATAGATAGGGTGAGCAAAAAATCGAGAAAATCCAAGGAAAGTATAGATAGGGTATAGATAGGGTATAGATAGGGTGAGCAAAAATCAAGAAAAATCAATAACGTATAGATAGGGTATAGATAGGGTATAGATAGGGTGAGCAAAAATCAAGAAAAATCAATGGACGTATAGATAGGGTATAGATAGGGTATAGATAGGGTACACCATGAACCACATCAGTGATCGCACAGCTCAGTGGCCATATATATCTGAATCGCAAAATCAATGTGTTCAAACCATCACACCGATGTTTGTTTTTGGTCGTTGCAAAACATCAGCGGTCACACCGCTGTGTTGCTCTTATTTGGTGCAAGGAAAGGAAAAACTGAAACAGTTTCACCCCTGTTGGGTCGTGGTTCTGTCAAGAAAACCAAAAAACAAAAGCGGTCACACCGCTGTGTTGCTCTTAGTTGTTTCAACAAAACAAAAAATGAAGCGGGGTCACCGCTGTTTCTTTTGTGTTTTTTAATAAAAACCTAAGCGGTCACACCGCTAGTTGTTGCAACAAAACAAAAAAAGGAGCGGTGACACCGCTGTTTGTTTTGGTATTGTAATAAAAACGTAAGCGGTCACACCGCGGTGTTGCTCATAGTTGTTGCAAGAAAAACAAAAAAAGGAGCGGTGACACCGCTGTTTGTTTTGGTTTTGTAATAAAAACCTAAGCGGTCACACCGCTGTGTTGCTCATAGGTGTTGCAAGAAAAAAATAGAAGCGGGTTCACCGCTGTTTGTATTGGTTTCAGTCAAACAAAAACTAAGCGGTCACACCGCTGTGTTGCTCTTAGTCTTAGTTGTTGCAAGAGAACTAAATATAGCGGTCACACCGCTCTTTCTTTGTTTCTTCAGTTGGAAAACAAAGAACAAAAGATTTCAAGCGGTCACACCGCTTTTGGATTGTTATTTAGTCTAAAACCAAATCAAACGGTTTCAAGCGATCACACCGCTATCGTTTCTTGTGCGCCAGGAAAAAAAGGCAAACGCAAACCACCACATGATCACGCTGTGAGCACACCACGATCGATTTTTTCACCTCAAATCTGCAGGTCGTGCGATCACTTGGCTGCTGGTTTCTTCACGGTCTTTTGAACTGCTGCCGGTTTTTTCATTTTGCGGGACTTGCTCGATGCAGCACGGCCACCACCATTGCGCCCACGCTGCTGCTCCTCGGCAGGGCGAGACGGCCGATATGGTTCTGGCCCAATCTCTTGCATTGGAAAGAAGCCTTCTTGGATCCACCTGCTGCACGCAGGGTGGCAAATTTGACCGAATTTTATCCTTGGTTTCCAAAACCCTCTGCGTTTCCTTCTTACATGTTGCTTCCCTTTCGATAGGCACAAAAAAACCTTTGCATGAAAACACAATAGCAAAACGCCTTGTCATCATGCGTTGTTGCTCGCATTCGGCATCTTCAAGCGCTCGATCCACCGCATCTTGGTTTTCAAACAAAGAGGCAAGGGTCATATCGAAAAGGCCTGGCGGAACCTTGAGATCACCCACCATCGCCGCAAGTTGGCAGGAGCCCAGGATCAGTTCAGGCTTCCCCATGGTGCGATCAGCCAGTTCGATAAATGCATCCAAGACCTGCCCATGAGCTGTCACAGAGTCGGGCACACAGAAAGCAAATGCTACCGCAAAAAATGGTTTGAAATGTCTAGAAAATCTACCGCAAGCTGCCCTGCCATGAAGACAAAAACAACCATGGCTTTATCATCTACTTGCCATTCCAACAGCAGGCAAGCACACTTGAGTTGTAAAACAACTACCGCAAACATGTAAACTATCCTATCCACAACAAGCGGTGACACCGCTAAGCGGAAAAAATCCGCTGCTATGGTTTCATAAAAAAAACGAACAACCCGCCAAGCGGAGAAAAAACCGCTGCTAATCTGAAAGGCAATGCCACTTGGCATTTGCAGGAAACCCTGCCCTGCCACCGTCGGCCTGGACAAATTTGGATGTTCACTAGAACGGAGGGTTAGCGTGTTTTGCTACTGTCATTTTGGGCTCAAGTCTTTGCCCATTTTGATTGTTGGATACTGACGAAATCGTCATAATGCCCATTTGCAATTGGGCGCTCATATTAGGGCTAGTTTCCAGTGTAGGTTCCCCTTCTGTGTATGGCCTGCCATGGTACCTGGATGTCTTTCATGGGATGACTGGATCTAGGGAGGAAGAAGTCACCAATGGGAAGATCAACCCGAAGTATCAGAAGGTCAGTCCGATCCCACGAAGGAAAGTTCTCAATCTGGAATCCCGTTTGAAGGAATAGCCCATGTGTGGGGATACTCTGTCCTCCACTTTGATTTCCGTTCATGGATAGGCTCCTCATGGTTCAGCACACCAACAGCACCTGGAACCCTGAGCTCCTCAGGAGGGTGGGGATTGTACTTCTTGGATCAGCTGGGGGTGTGGACATGCGGAGATTTTTGGCCATGGGTTGCCAGATGTTTGTTAAGTGCCATCGTGGTTTTGGGAGCAATTTTGATTCTCTACTTGCTATTGGTTATCTGCCGGCCCTGTCAAGCTTTCTGCAAATGTTGCTGCAGACAGACCAGAGCAGTAGCCAAAGAGGTGGGGGAGCTCCTCCCCGAACTTAGACCTGGGGGGCACATACGAAAAGCTGGATATCCGTGGACCCGCCTCTAGCGGGGGCGTCGATTCCGAATTCTACCAACGAGGCGTCAAGGGTCGAGGTTCAGAAAGAAAACCCAATGACGTAGCTGTTGTGGTGAATGACCAAATAGCTCGCTTGAAGGTAGACGGGGATCATTGGGCACGTGTGGATCGATACGGGTTATGGGTTCATCTCCGTGGAGTGAAGGGTTCCACGTCGAAAGCGCTTCGCCAAACGTTGGAACAGGAGGGGAAAATCCATCTCTGTCGCGAGCAGCGGTGTCCGCTTGAATTGCAACCAACACCCGGTCTACATTGCAAAGCTTACGCTTCGGTGGATGCCAATGGGCTGGTGGATTTGGGAGCTTATGCAGGGTGGTCCACCCGCAGGGTGATCGTCTTGATGGGTCGATGGCTACGTAGAATGGTGCGGGGGCTTAGTCTCTGCGTGTACTATCTGACGGGATGGTTCATTCTCAGACAACTCTGGGCAAAGCGGACGCCACCCAGAACCATAGTCGGGGGAGCTGTCGTCAGACCCTTGGATGCAGAATCTGAGTCTGAAGTAGAGGTACAAGATGACCCTTGTGAGGCCGTATTAGTCGGTTTGGAACATGGAGGCAAACCGAGAGCATTGGCCACAGACCCATGTGCAGATCGGGCTATCGGAGAGCCGGTCCGGCTCCTGGAGAGGGACAGAGAACTCTCTGACGTCAAAAGGAGATCCTCCGTCAGGCTTTGCGACCATCATCGGCAGCTCTACGTGGTGGCATGTTCAAGCCGAAAATGCAGCGTGTTGGCTTGCTACGAACAGGTTGATGGTGCCAAACAGGGAGTTCCCCTCTGCAAGCACCACCTGACGGACCTTGGTGGTTGTGCTCGCCCTACCCGCAGGGTTAGCTGGACACAT